AGAACTGTTCATCTATCGAATTCGATTTCAGTCTTCTTCCACTTGTTATTCAGATTTTACGTTGCGTTAATGGTAATACGATTCTCTCGTCAATATTTTTCCATCTCAACATTGGACTAAGTATTAATTTTAATCTAATAACCATTATCTTTATTTGATCTTTCATGTCATTTTTTCTATGGTTCATTTGTCATAACTATTGTCTTTTTCTCTCCTTTGTATTCTTATCGTTTTAGTTTATTTTCCATCTCAACAACAAATAATTTCTTTTCCATGTTGATTCTGTCATGTTTGTGAATACACTTTTGGTTAAACAGTAAACGTTTTCTTGGGCAACTATTGATTATAATTGTTACCTTGCAATCAATCATGGAAAGAAAAGAATTCAAAGAAAAGGTAACTATATCTTCAATGTAAATTGAACAACAATTGAGAAATAATGTCAATTACTTAAATGGTGAACTTTACTCTAATTTACTTTTCTTCTTCCTCTTTTCTCTTACAGGAAAAAAAGGTTGTCACGAAGGGAAGAAAGTGGTCACCAATCCTTCTTGATCCTTTGTTTTGTTACCACCTCAACCCAACATCTAACAATAGTATTAAATTTCAATGGTAGTCATAAAAAGGAAGTTGGAAATAAGAAGGATAAAGGAGGATATTGGTGGAAAAAAGTAAAATGGAGAAGAAAAACCAAAAGGTAAATTTCAAGTGATGCTGAAATTTGAAGATGAAGTCAAGCGATTTCTACCTGGTACTTGGGGTCATTGATTCTTCTGTTATATGTGAACATTTATATAAATGGAAAAGTGAACAAAAAGAAGACGAATATATAAAAAAAAGAGAGGAGTAAAACGGAAAACATGGAATAAGAAGAAGAAAATCAAGATCAAGAGGAGCAGAAGAAAACAAGAAGAAGGAGGATAAACACTGAGAAAATCGTAGTTCTAGATAATATCTAGAGTAAAGGTGAAGAAAAAATTCAAGAGACTGTTTTACTTTTTCTCTTTCTCTGTTCAATTAATTGGTTTTTGAGTCGAAAACAACTTGAGAAATGGAACAACAACAATAACGATAAATAGTATCAACAGAGAGAATCTAAAGAGAGAGAAAAAGAAACCCAACGAAAGAAGAAAATCAAACTAATTCATTAGAAAATCAAGAAGACAAATTATGATGGCACAGCGAGGAAGAAAATCGTGAAGTAAAAAAAAGAAAAATGGCTCTAAGAAATGTATAGGTGAAAGAGAATTTCAATTTTTCTTCTCTGATTTCCAACTCCACCATCCCCACTCTCCATCAATTCAAAACCGTGGAGGGTTAAAGTTTAAAAGCGAAACTAGAACCTCAAAAAGATTCGTTAGTTTATTTTTCTTTTTTTTCTGTTGACGATGCAAAACAATTTTGAACAGAACAGAAGCTCCAAAGAGAAAAGATGAATCTTCTTCTCTTTCTCTTGATCATCTTCATCATCAGTATCATCATCATCTTTACCTTCCAAGAAAAGAACTCAAGATAGATTCATTTCGCTTAATAAGATGGATATTTCATAGATTGACTCCAGGGAAGATAAGCTTCCGTTCATGATACATATAGAAATGTAAACGGTATAATAATATTTTCCTCTTCTCTCTCTTTCTCTCTTACAGATTCATCTTCCCACCTTTACTCCAACTTAACTGCTTTTAGTTTTAAAGGTTCTCCCTCATACCCTGGGAGTGAGAAAGGTAAAGGACTGACAGGTAAAATGAAGCGATTGACTGTGAATGTTGGTTCAAGCTTGAAACTCGTATGCATGATACCAGAGGAGGAAAAAGGAAAGAGTAAGTTACAGTTTTTAGTGCATACATTATATGGCATCTTGGGAATTTTTATTCAAGAAAGTTCACAGAGAATAATTTGATAGAAGAGAGTAAACCAGAGTGAGAAGGCAGAAAGGATATAAGACAAAAAGAATAAAAATCAAAACTAATCAAAAAGATTTTCTCGTAATTCACATTTATCTTGATAAGAACAATAGGAATAACAAAAAATACCAAAGTGAAAAATTCTGTCATGATAAAAACTTGAAAATTCTTGTATCTTTTTTATCACCTTATCCTGAGAAACCAGGAATCAAATAAGTGTGAAAAATAATATGATATTCTTGATGAGGGAAGACAAAAATTCTTTAAGGTAAAATTATTCAAGAGAATCAATGATAATGACATTTAAAGATATTCAAGATTCTTCTTTGATTAGTCTTCTCTCCCCATCTCTCTCTTTATTTTATTTCTACTCTTTCATCTTTTTTTCTTCCTTCTCTTCCTTCACATCATCACTTTCCTCTTTTCCTCTCTCTCTCTCTCTCTCTCTCTCTCTCTCTCTCTCTCTCTCTCTCTCTCTCTCTTCAATCATCATTTTCCCTCCTCTTATCATCATCTATTCGTAATGTGTATTAACATTACATTTACTTTTTTAGAAACACAACTTTGAACATTTATTACATTTACAAATTCATTTATATTTGATTCAGATCGTCTTGATTGGTTGTTATTATATATTCTCATACTGAATATTTAAACGAATTTCATTACCTCACATCATCATCATCTAATTCTCACCATGATAATCACAATCACCTACTAATTTAGCTCGTCAATTTTCATAGATTGTGAATAAGATTTTCTCTCTCTCTCTCTCTCTCTCTCTCTCTCTCTCTCTCTCTCTCTTGTAGGAAATGAAAACAGAAACTGTTTTGATGGTTTGTCTCTTAATGTGAATATTTATCTGAATCATTATCATTCCTTTTAACATTCATTATAATAACACATCATCATCATCATGGAAACTATTACAATTGCGATTTAAGAGGCTGCAGAAAAAAAGGATTTCTTGTGTGTGATATATTAAAGCCTCCCTGCTAATGGACTCTTATCTTGCATGATGATCACACCACAAAATATTAATAGATTACCCACCGTCATCTAAAATGAGATACATCTTTAAGTGGTTTTACTTGGCGGAGGAAGACTTGAAGAGGCAAAGATAGGCGAGAGAGAGAGAGAGAGAGAGAGAGAGAGAGACAGGGTGGGTGAATATCTTTATGCAATTATCATAATTGGAAACGGAAACTTGAGTTTTACAGGAAGTGGAATCGAGGGGAAAATAGCTGTAACTCTCAAGAGGTGCAGATTTTACCTTTGGTGCAAACTGGTCCGGTGTAACTCGTTGCTCGACAATCACACACAAATCGATTCCATCCTTCCATGCAAATACCCTCATTGAAACAAGGTTTTTTATCACAGTGACTTGGCAATGAATGGCATGAAGGTTTCACAGAACCGGAATCTTGTTTACGGGCAAATGAGGCGATATCAATGGCCTGATTGTTGAGAACTAAATCACGTACACAACCAACGTAACCATATTTTAATGAACCAGCCCAAAGTTCCGGAGGAACCTCATTAAAAGCTTTACTCAAAGAGGGACCAAAACTACCTAAGTAAAGTGGACTTTCCAGATCAAGTTGATTGTTTGTTCCCGGGTGACAAAATCAACCGCTGCATCGTCAACTGTCACTCGGCCTGATTTTGCTGTGCGAAGTAATGTTATCACATGCCAATGAGAATCATCAACTCGACGAGCTGATGCTTTTACCTTAATTGGTCCAGAACCTAAATTGAGTAGTAAATAGATTTGCCCATCAAGTAATTCGAGTGCAAAAAAATCACTTGGTGGTTGATTTGATATCGATCCAGAGTTAGAACTGGATGAAGAAAATGAAAGCGATGAAGAAGACAAGACGGAAGGTGTCGAATAACTATTTCCATTAGTTTTCCCTGAACTATACATGAGAACACCACTTGGTTCATTGGTTCGTATCTTAAGAGACAATGAGCCTCCCTTGATCGCTTCCCACCGGGGTAATGCTAGAAATGAGTCTTTGGTTGTAAAGGTTATCGGATCAGCAGCTTCAACTTCCTGACAAGAGTCGACAATGTTTCCTTTTACTTGTAACAAATTGAGGTCACTTTTAGCTAAATCAAGTATATCCAGAACCATTGAATCTCCAATGAATTCAACCTTTACATTGAAAATTTCCACCCCAAAGGAAACACAGGTAAATAAAATTGGATGAAGACAAAAGGAAAAAAAAAGAAAAGAGATAAAATGAGAAATAATGAAAGTGTAACCGAGATTAAGTTACCTTTACCAAAGAGATTAGTATAAAGTTAGTTCCTTTATCCACCTTACCTTTCATCTTGTTCATCATCCCTTTTACTTTTCTATTACTCCCCATGTATTCAGTGATTGATTTGATTGGGATGTTTATAACTTTATTGGATGAATTTCATTTGATTGGTAATAGTGGAAAATGTTTCCTACTCTCTCACTCACACCAAATGAAATTATTATCCCTCCTTCATCTGATTTATCCTTACCCACTCCTCTCTCAACTCTATCTACAGGGAGTTACATCTTGTAACCATTTTTTACTTTGTTTTCCTCTCACATACAGTAAATTACTGGGAGTGAAAAAATCGAACCCAAAGTGATTCACTTTCTAGTGATCTTTCTCTCTCTCTCTCTCTCTCTCTCTCTCTCTCTCTCTCTCTCTCTCTCTCTCTCTCTCTCTCTGTTATCAATTTAGAGTTTATCAGATGATGAAGATATTTCAAGATGACAAGCGACTCTTTCCACCTTTTGTCTTTGCTTCTTTCTATTCATTCATTCAGTCCGAAATTTCATCCCACCCTCTTTGATGGGTGATCATTGGTATGGTTGGTCAAGCAAATCGTAATTCATCTTGTGACAGCAGAAAAAAAAATTCGTAGAAAGAGAAAAAAAAGTCTTTCTTTCAATTTACTTTCATTTTTTTTCTCTTCCTCATCTTTTTTTTATTACCTTGTGCTTTTTACTTTCCATCTTCATCTTTCTTTTATTCTTTACACAGGAGAAGATTTCTTGAAGATACTTTGATTTTTTCCCATTCTACTGATGATGATGATGATGATGTTAATGCTTCTTCCACTTTCAAGTGATGATGATAAAAGTAATAATGTTCAACTTACCTTCCTAAGGCAGCCAATGAAGTTGCTTTGTACCCTTGAGCCCGGAAGTTGTTCAAAATGGTCACTTCCTCCGATAAAAAGTATTGAACTGGACAATAGGAAAATGAACCTGTAGTTGAACCTCTTTCCGTAAACACCATCAATGGTTATTGAAAACTGAAATATATACAAATGAAAAGAAAGAAAAAGGAATGGAAAGAATGAGAAAAACAGGAAAGATGAAGATGAATATAAATATGAAGAAAAGGATGACATCGATACAAGAGAAGAAAAAAAAATAGATGAACAAGAATAAGAAGAAAAAAATGGAAAGCACAATGAAGATAAATGCCAATAATGAGAAGGAGCAGAAAAAGCAAAAGCCACGAGGATGGAAAAGCAATAGAAGATGATATCTTTGAATCTCTCGAAATGAGGAATCACAAAGATGATAAAAGAATCCAATAGAAAAGCAAACAAGGGAAAAAAGGAAAAGGAAAAGATGAAGAAGAAAAAGTTAAATCTTCTACCGATATTATATTGTATTCGTCATATAAAGTTTCCCTAGATGAATGAAAATCACGATTAAGATATCATTGAGAAAGAGAGAACAATTGAAATGTGATGACAGACAATGGAAAACAAGGATGAGAAGATGAGGAAGACAAAAAAAATGAAGAAAACAAGACAAAAAAAGACAGAAAAAGACAGAAAAAGACAGAGAAACTAAAAAATATTAAGCTTCAAGCTATTACATTTTGATCAATACAATGATGATATTATCAAGCAAAATGAGCAGTAACTTTCATCAAGCATCATCTTCATCGTCATCATCATCATCATCATCACAATCATGATGAAAGTAAAGAGCTGAAAGAAACAAAAGTTATCATCATCAACAGGAAAGGAAAGTGATATATATCATAACACAATAATTGAATAACATGGTGATAGTGATACAATTTAATACAATGATCAACAGCAATAGGAAATGCAAAATGTTTTCATCAATCAATAACAAATCAATACATATAAATATACAAACATACTCTTAGATAATACATTATATATGGTGAACCATTGGCTAATAATCACTATAATCAATGTAATAATAGTAATGATGATGATAATAACTGTAATCATTATAATGTTATTGTGGTTTCATATTAATACAATAGGCAATGAGTGAGGATGAATGAAAGAGTAAATTGTGATTTTCTCTCGTTTTTTTTTTATTAATCTAATTCCTTTTTGTTTTATTAGCGTGAATTAAAGTAATTTACTGATTAACTTAACTTATCATCATTCGTAATGATTAAGGTAAAGAAGAGCAAAGATTATCATGAAATTGTTAGTTAGTTTGATTAGAGGTCACAATTACCTTGATTATGGTTAAATTATATAATGAATCTAATGAACCTAATGAGAATTGTTTTAACGTTTGGTTTGTATTATTATACAAAATGGTGGAAAAGGTAAATTAATCTAATGATAATCAACAAGAGTCACAATCAAATCCAATACCCAATGAGGTATAATACAATTAAATGGTCTATAGTTAATGATTAACGAAAACAAGGCGTATCAAGCAATCAATTTAATTGTTCACATTATAATATTAATTGTATAACCTTTTTTTACACTGTTTTACTTGGTTAATTGTGTCTTCTTTTAACAATCAAATCTACGTTTTTCTGATTGTTTCTATTACTATTTTTGTCTTAAATTATTATTATACTTCAACTATTGAACCAATGAACCAATTGAATGGTCATAATTAATTGGAAACAATCAAGGTGAACAATTTAAATGACAAAAATTGGTCGTCTTCAAATGTAATTGCCGATTAGATCGATTACTTGATTTCTCGTAATTTTTTCTCATTAACAATTAACTTTTCAGACAGAGTACAAACTGATTGCTGTCAATTTTCATCGTAATAAGCAAGATTGAAATTAACAATTAACAATCAACTTGGATAATATTAAGAAAAATCAATTGTAAACAAGAGGATATTTTAAATTGTTACAATTAGTTAATATACTTACATGACAAAAACTGATTGCACGATTCATCTGGAAGCAATTAAGTGAGAAAAGAGAGAGATAAATACAATTAAACAATTAAATCTAACAACAGTTAATGATTATTATGAAAAATGTTTAATCGGATCAATCAGAATCCTTAATTGTTTGATTCCATTAATAATAATCAATTTTATCAAAAGGAAAACGAACTAAGTTATTGATGTAAATCAACATAATCAACTAATTCAATTATTGTGATGTCGATTATTAATGTAATCAATAGTGTCGTGATTAAGGTAAAAAAATGATTCGATGAACAATTAATTAGGTTAAATGGTTAACGAACTTTTAACAAGAACGAGAAAACTTTTCTTACCTCACGAACTTTTCGATGAACTAGAACTTTGTGCCATTGATTATCGTCGAATCGGATTCTCGCTGGTTTTACAATTCGTTCGGATAAATTGTTACCCAATTTAACTGACAGGGTGACCCCTCCATCTCTAATTGCTAAATTAAGATAATCAGAGATTCCGTCACCAGCGTAAAATAATAGGCCATTTGATTGTCGCGATTTAAAGTACAATGAAATTTCATCCGATGAACTTAAAATCGACTTGGAAATGTTATTAAAGTAAATGAATTCTTGTCCTCGAAATGTGGCCTCAGGCGAGTGTTTAGCTGTTAATTAAGAGAATTAAATTAGAAATCTATTGATATGTTATTAGAATAGTGATTAGAATATTAATCACAGTTTGTTTTCATTCATTCTGAAGTTTTCAAGTTTAAGGTGAAACAATTAACTAATTACTTGGACAATTAAAATTATTATTATGCTTTATTAGTACAGTTTAAACAATTTACTAACATTAATCACTTGAATCATGTTATTCATTGTAATTGTTAATCATTTTGACTAAGATAAATTGTTGTGAGGTTGGTGTTGTTTTGTTGTTATTAATCAGTTAATTAATTACCATGACTTTAATTGTAGAGTTAATTGTAACAACCAATTGTAAGTTTCCATCAGACATTCAACTAACCATTAATATCCTGATACTTTGATTATATATAAGTTAATTGTGAATGAATATCAATCTATGATTAAGAAATTAAATTAAAACATCAACATGATAAAAGCTCATTAAGGTAAAATTAAATCTCCCCATGAATTATTAATTATTATTAGAGATTTCCTGAATTCTTGGATAGCAATTAATTGATTGGTGTAAAAATTTTAGGAATTCATGTTAATCATCAATGTTAAATGTTGTTAATTAAATGTTACACCAATCAACTGATCTTGACAAAGTAATTTAACCCCAACAATTAACTTTCATCCAGCAAATGAATCTAATAAATGTTTCAATAGTAACCATTTGATAATCATGATCAACTTGAAAGATAATCAGTTGCGATGGTGATTAACAATTTAAATTTACTTGGATGATCAGATTAAATTGATTGTTAATTATCAAGAATTTGATGGAGAAAAATTTATCACAATTTAGAATTGACAATAAACTTAATTTTATAATTAAAATTGTCAAATGAGTCTCTCTCTCTCTCTCTGTATTTGCAAATGAAAAGGAGTTGAAACAATTATTGTGATAATTGTCACTTAGATAATGATAATATATTAATTGTAATTAAATCCAATTGGGTGAGTAGTCAAAGTGAAAGTTCATTTAAAAGTCAATTACATGATAAAAGTGAAAATGATAACAATCAAATTAAATACCAAACAGATAATCAAATAACAATAATGATACAAATAATATTATCCATTGGTCATCAATGGACAATCATGATGTAAACGATAAACATGATGATGAGATTACTATGAATGATAATCAACCATGAATAAATAGATGGGAATAAATAAATTCTTGAATATATTATTCCATCATCATGAATTATATCATCATGATGATGATAATGAATCCAGAATCTAGAATAAATAATATTATCAGATAAGTAAAATAAACTATTGGATTGATTGAACTTTTGTCTCCCAATATATGAAATGTTTCAATGGAATAACTTTTTAAACAGAATTCAGTTCAATTCGGAATAAACTTTCCTTTTGTATAATATTTATCATGAAGATAAAAATGATAGGATGATAATGATGATGAGGTTTGCAGAAAAACAAAAATGAAAATGATGATCAAATAGGATGATAAAGATGAGGAGGATGAAAAAGCAACTGAATTACATTTAATATAATCGTAATAATAATAATAATATAAAGGTAACTAATAGACTTTGGATCATGATTGTGAATGAATGAATGAATATAATGGATCTGAAATGAAACCAGATCCGGTTTCCAATGTAATATAATCCATCATCAGTATCGGTGGGTGTACGGGGTGGGGTGGGTTCAGAGAGAGAGAGAGTGGGTGAACACCATCAACACAAAAAATACAAGGAACCACTTTCACCCAATAATGAAAAGAAATCATGAAATCATTTGAATTTATAATCAATTTTTCCTTGGCGTTTACATTTTGTCAATTGCGATTCAATTTTTTGTGTTAATTTTTATGTTTACCAAGTTAAATTGTTTTAATTTAATTATCAATTGTCAGCAAGTTTTTTTTATTCTTAACCTTAATTGCTGAATAATAATCAAAGTTTATTGTGATTAACGTTATTTTTTTGTTTCTTTTAAATTGTCTCATATCTTTGGTATTGACATTTATCATTTGCAAATGAAAATAAATGACAATCAATGATTATAATTGATGATGATCATCTTGATTGGGCAATTGATTAATTTGATCACAATTGATGATTAGACTTTATCATTATGACAACAATTTAACAGGTAAATCAATTAGTTTACATTTTCTAACAGTTTTTCATTAAATTATTAATACTAAAATTGGGCAATACAAGTGTAATTAATTTGATTGTCAACAATTAAGATGATTAAGATTTGTCACTCTTGTGTTTCCATAGTTACATTGATTGGATAATGATGATAATCAATTATAATATTGGTCATATCTTTGAGTGATTAAATGATCAATTGGAAGGATTAATTTAGATTTTTTTTTCTCCTCATCGTAACAATCAAATTAGTCCAATTACAATAAGCTAATCACTAATTTGATATGATATCACAATTAAGACCTGCAAGTTGAATATAAAACAATAAGGTATCTGAATTGTTGAGATTAAATTTAATTTGGTTTCAGCAAAGGAAAAAAAGTTTCATATATGTGGCGATATAATTGTTTCAAGAATAACAATTAAATTTAATCCTCTTTTTTAAAGATAAATTAAATTGAATTAAAAGTTGGTACAATGATTAAAAACAATTCATCATATCAACTGACCATTGAATTATGACCATGATAATAAAGATTTTACATCAATCAGCTAGCTTATTGTTGTCCGAAATGTTGTCCAGCTAAAAACTGGACATTGAAAGGTATCATGATGAAGGATGATAACCATTCATTGTCCATATTATTTCATGTGAAAATGTGTTAAAGTGCATTCAGAACAGTTCAAGTGAAACTGAATTCACTTCCTGGTGTAATTTTTTGTTTGTCTCTCTCATCCATTCAAACATGAAGATTGATTCATGAAGATGAACGATAATGATAATGAAGATACATCTCTGTCACTATCATCATTTTCTTGATCATTTCAATTCATCATCATCATCATCATCATCAGTTGAATGTAAACATGATGATAAATGAATGATTAAAGTTTAATGGATTCATGATGATACCATGAAATCAAGTGATATAAAAGTTGATCCATTTTCATTAGGAAAAAAAAAATAAATTTAAATTGTCACACCGCTAAAAATTTAATGGAAAACATTAATATTGATCATCTCCTTATATTCATGATTGTTAATTGTTTTAATAATTTATTTACCATCAATTGTAAGTCCTTTAGATTAACAATTTTTTCATTTGGATTGATTTTGATGAAACCACAATTTGCTGATTCATTTGATAACTAACAAACAATTTGATCCATTTCTTAATCTCGTCAGGATTTGTTAAGGGATTAACTTTGATTTCGCAAACAGATAACAATCAATTTGGTAATCACATGATTTGGTGACATTAGATTGCGACAGAAAATCTCAGGTGATGCAAATCTGATTTTGACCATCAAATGACCTTAAAATCTTGTCCTAACAGAATGACCAGAATAATCTAGATGATAAAATATGACGATTGAGTATCACCCAAGCTCCCATGATCAATTCTGTGGTCGCAGCTCTCAAAGAAAACAAGACTTGTTAAAATTTAGAGAAATGTTCTGTTTGAATGGTGATTTAACTGATTACTTGATTCACAGTTTCGACTTTCAAATAAAATGTGATTGACCACTTCGCTCGAAAATGTGGACTTAGAGTTGACTTGAAAATGTGCAAAAATACCTGGAACAATGGTCAACAGCAGTTCAAAAGTGGAATTGGGCCTAGAAACGTAATCTTCAGGGTTAAGTGACAAAATTATGCACCAAATCTGCAAGTGACCTAAAAGATGTTAGAGCGCTGAGAATAGAGGAAGAAATTATATCTCACTCATCTGACCTTCATATGGACCTTCATTCAATTCCAGACAAAAGCTTCCCAGCTGATTCATTTTCTGTAAAAAGTTTTCACAAGCTCTTGATTTAGTCTAAGCACTATGTCAAAGTTGTTTGTCACACTAGTGACTCGAAACTTCATAAGTTGGTTTACAAAATTTGACGTTTTCAAAAAATCCTTCTAGCGTATGGCCTGTTGAATAACCTTCATGACCTTGACATTGAAATGTGACAAACAAGTATTGGCCAAACTATCATAGGCCCAATATGGACACACTATCGGGTGGGTGTTTAAGTAATCGTGAAAAGAAATGTGGAGACAATTTCCCTGTAGAAATGGATCATATCCTAATTTTGTCACTATTGAGTTTAGTTGATAACTGATCATTTCCGATGAATCAAATAAATCAAATAATAGATTAACAATTTAATCTAATAACTAATGATAAGAAATTTAATCATCTTCATGGTTGGAAAACTAAATTATCATTAAGAGGTTATCAAAACAGTTTCTTCAATCATTTCATGGGTTAGGTCAATATCAACGGAATCGTAATCATCAGTTTTATATATTAAAGTTAATCATAAACATTAACCATTAATGATTAAAATGTATTAATGATAATTGTGATAAAGGATAATTATCATTACAATGATCATTTAGAAATCACCAGAATAATGTTAACCATGATCCTAATATTGTACAAAAGATAATGGAATCAATTTTTCAATTTGAACAGCTCAATTTTTCATAAAAAAGTCACAATTTCAGTTAATTGTTGTGCAAATTAGTGAAAACATCAGTATCACAAATTTTTGATTGTTAATTAAATCATTAACATGATTAACATTAGATACTAAAGTGATTACAATCAACTGATAAACTGGTAACTTCCAGTGTTCAACCAATTGTTACAATTTAATAATGGCAAAAGCTAAATGATAACCAGATCATTAAGTAGATTTTTATCAAAAACCAATCAATTGAAATTCATAACATTCACCGGGTGAGATTTATCATGAATCATTTACAGATAAATTGATGAGAATGAAAAAGAAAAACAGAAATTCTGATTTCCGAGATAAAAATACATGATGAAATTTCATCATCA